ATATATAAAATTAAGAATACACATACTTAATAAATATAAATTTAATTTTTCTCTACCCAGGGGTGCGCCAACTTGAAATTATGTGCTGTTTTGGCTGCATGTCAGTTCTTGCCAACTACTTCGTGTTCATGACTTTCTTTCCAGCTTGTGTGTCCTTGGTATTAGAGGTAAGAGCAGTTGTTAGTTTGGACATGAGAAGAATAATATCTCTTATATCATAGATTTACCCAGATAGAATCAGTACCTTGAATACACTGGTACCTAATGTATCACTTATTTTGTAGCTTTCTCGGGAAAGCCGTGAGGGTCGTCCAATATGGCAGCTCAGCCATTTTGCCCGAGTTTTGGAAGAAGAAGAAAATAAACCAAATCCTGTAACCCAGAGGGTCAAGATGATTATGGTAATAACATGCTTTTTTCCTTCAATGTCTTTGGTTCCAGTGTCATAGTCTACTTTTTTTTATCTTTTTCTGCCTGTTACCTGTATATGTGCTCTGGTGGTGTAGTGGTTAAGGCATTGAGATGTTAACCAAAAGGCCCATGGTTCAAGCCCACCCACTGCCCTGAAGGAGAAAGATAAGGCACTCTGCTTCTGTAAACATTGGCAGCCTTGGAAACCTAACTCGGCAGTTTTACTCTGTTCTCTAGGGTTGTTATGAGTCAGAATTAACTTGATGGCAGTAGGTTTGGTTTGATTTGCATATGGTACAGTTTTTGACTCTTTCACTGATGTTCTACCCTTGTCTGCCTTTTTCTCATAACCTGTTCTTCCATTTCTTTGAGCTCTTGGTCTTTTTTAGTCTCCCTCCACTAAACGATTTTTCAAGTTCTTATACGTTCTCTCTTTGAAAACCTGTGTTTTGGGATGTTTTCAGTAGTATAAAGGGGCCACTAAATTAGTCACAGAGATCTCTGGTGGCATAGTGCCTAAGGCATTTGACTGCTAACCAGAAGGCTGGCGGTTCAAACCCACCAGGCACTCCTCGGAAGGAAGATTGGGCAGTCTCTGAGTCACTATGAGTTGGATCCAACTCCACGGCAGTGAGTTTGGTTTTGGTAAGTTAGTCACATAGCAAGTTAAGGGGCTTTCTCTGCATAGTAAGGGGAAGCCCTGAAAGATTGTTAGTATCTAGTTGTTGGGTATTAAAATTAGGTTCCATTAATAGATGATACCTGAGGCTAAACACTTTGTCTAGAATAACTCATTCTTGGGTAGTGTTAAGGACTATCAATCTAAAGAACTATTGCTTTATGTTACTAAATTTTTAAAATTTTATTCCAGTCTCTAGGATTGGTTCTTGTTCATGCTCACAGTCGTTGGATAGCTGATCCTTCTCCTCAAAACAGTACAGCAGAAAATTCTAAGGTTTCTTTAGGATTGGATGAACATGTATCCAAGAGAATTGAACCAAATATCTCCCTCTGGCAATTTTATCTCTCTAAGTAAGTTAACCATAGCCTCTTTTGTTACATATTAATCATAACACTCTGTGCTCTTATAAGTTTAGATGGTGCCTTTTGTATTTCTTCTGAATAATAACGTTTTAACTTGTTTTCTTTTATTTAGAATGATCAGCATGGATATTGAACAAGTTATTACTCTAAGTTTAGCTCTCCTTCTGGCTGTCAAGTACATCTTCTTTGAACAAGCAGAGACAGAATCTACACTCTCACTAAAAAATCCTATCACGTCTCCTATAGTGACCCAAAAGAAAGTCCCAGACAATTGTTGTAGACGTGAACCTACGCTGGTCAGAAATAACCAGAAATTCCATGCAGTGGAGGAGGAGACAGGGCTCAACCGAGAAAGAAAAGGTGAATTTTTATTCTCTTCAGTCTCTGTTCCTCCAATGCTGATTTGTGAAAAAGTTGAGTCTGTTTTAAAAATTGTGATCTGATGTTCAGTATTCTGAGGTTTCTTTTGATCTCTTGGACAGTTGAAGTTATAAAACCCTTAGTGACAGAAACTGACAGCTCAAACAGACCTACGTTTGTGGTTGGTAACTCTTCTGTCCGCAGTACTTCACCAGTACTGGAGACACCAGAACCTGAAATTGAACTTCCTAAGGAGCCTCGGCCTAATGAAGAATGTCTACAGATACTTGGGAATGCAAAGGTGAGAAAAATAAAGCAAAAGCAAATACGGCATATTTCTTTAAAAAGGAGCTTTTGTTTTGAATCACCTGATGTTTAGTAAAGGAAGAAAGAAACCAATATCTGCATACTGCCCAAGTTCTAGGTACAGTGTTAACATGATTCTCAGGTGCTGTTTTACTTACTTATTCCTCATAACCTTGTGAGGTAGGTAGAATGAAGTCAGTCTTTTAGATGAAAAAAGCTGAGGTCTCAGGAGATCTGTTGTTGTTATATGCCATCAAGTCGGACCCAACTCATAGTGACCCCTCCTTGGTTTCTGAGGCGGTATGACTGCAGAAGTAGATTGCCCCATCTTCCTTCCGAGGAGTGGCTGTGGGTTTGAACTGCCAGCCTTCTGGTTAGCAGTCAAGTGCCTTAGGCATTACGCTACCAGAGCTCCTTTCAGGAGAGCTAAGTAGTTATTATCTAGGAAATGGCAAAGTTAGAAAGAGTCCAAGATTTTCTCACTCCAGAATCAGTACTTGTTCTAGTTTATATAGTGTTTGTCAAAGAGATGAGCAACTAGTATATTCTCATGTATGTTAAGGCATGGAAAAGATTTAACACAGATGTGTTTAAAACAAAGGAGGAAATTTGTTTGTTTTAAAGTAAGTGCTACATTCTCAAGGAAGCTTGTTTTCTGTACTGTGATTTAAACAGGGCTTTCTTCCTGCATGAGTAAATGCGGGCACTTGTGCTGTAGTGGGAGTAATGTGTTCCAGCCATATCTGCTTAATCTGTTAATTCTGAATTTGTGTGCCAATGAGTGAGCATGAAGGTGTGTTTGTTTTCTTTATTGCTTTCCTTTCCCTCATCCCTGTTAACACATGTACCAGTGTCTCTCCACTATCTGACTGTGTATAGGGTTAGCAGAATTTAGAAGATAGGCATCACAATCTGAATTACGGATTTTCTTCTCTGTGAACCTCACAAATTTTAATGTGTTGGTTATGTATTTCTTTAGTTTTCATACTTTCATAAGGAATTTGCTTTCATTTTGATATTCTTAAAGTCTACTCAAATCATCTCCCTCCTTAGAACCCCAAACCCTTCATGTTCTCTCCTTGCAGTTCTTGGTTTAGCTCTGTTCAGAGCTAATCTCAGCTGGGCTGTATACTTTTTGAGGGCCTAGACTTGTACACAGAGGATTCTAATAAGTAAATAGTGGTTGGTTTCCATTGATGAACCTGGGGAGCAGGTAGATTTGTACAGATAAGATCTCAGACTTGAGGAGGGCAGAATGCACAGCAGAGTAGGGGGAGTGCTAGGATTTATAGCCTGAGTCTTCTGTTCTGCCTCCAAAATAGTGCTCTTTTCTTTATTGTCTCCTAAAACAAGATAGTTCAGATGGGGATTAAACACAGACTAGTCAAGGATTAATATTTTCAGGACTGATCTTGCGCTGTGTTGTTGTTTGTTGCCATTGAGTCGGCTCTGCCCCATTGAAAACAAGGAAAACTCAGTGAGATGCTTTACTTCAATTGAAATAGTTTAATCCTTTGATCTTCTAATCACTGGCTTCCTTCTATTTAAAGGGGTTTGGTATTAACAAAACTTTATGAGCTGACTGATTACATTTTTCGTAAGAATATTTGTAGTTTTGAAACTTTCAGCTTTTAACTAGGTGTGTTGATAGGTTACCTGCTGAACTTACTTTTATTCAACACGAATATATATTTTGACTAGGCAGAATGCTCTGTGCTCGAATCACACTGCATTGAATTGATCTAACTCATTGTTCTCTGAACACAGTCTCTAACTTTTGGGTTCCTACTATTCCTGTCACCTGAGATAGCCTCCTATCTCCAGGTGTTTTTATCTTTATTACAAATGCAACCTTCTCTTTAAAACCTTTTTTTTTCTCTAACTGGAAGTAATCTTTTTTCCCCCCATCTTTTAATGGTATTTGTGTCTTGCTGCTTTTGTCACAAGTTTACATGATTATTTTCATCATTAGACACCAAGCTCTTGCAAAGCTGAGTCCATGTCTCCAGAGATCCTTGTACAGAGTAGGTACTTAGTACATTTTAAAATGAGTGAATATGCATTGGTAATACATAAACATACTGATTTATCTAGCTTATCTTGATGTTCTTTGGAAAATCAGGGTAATTTTAATGCTTGCAAAGAAGATTATATGTATATATCACTATCATAAACAGAGTTCAAACAAACAAACGAAACAGGGGATAGTATTGGCAACTTATATCCAAGACTTAGGAGGCTCTGGTAGCATAGTGCCTAAGGCACTTGACTGCTAACCAGAAGGCTGGCAGATCAAACCCACCAGCCACTCCTCAGAAGGAAGGTTGGGCAATCTACTTCTGTAGTGATACTGCCTTGGAAACCCAAGGAGGGGTTGCTATGAGTCGGTTCCAACTCGATGGCACATAACAACAAAAACAACAACAACATCTAAGACTTAAGGGCTAATCTCCCTAATATATAGAGAATTTCCATAAATTAATAAGACTAACAACCCAGTTTTTAAAAGCAAATAATTGGTCTCTTTTCAGAAAAAGAAGTGTGAATGAGTCTTATGCATATTGAAAGTTGATTAACCTCATAAATGAATTAAAGCTACACGAAATATTTTTATTCATCAGGTTGTCAAAAATCCAAAAGTTTAATATACACTCTGTTGAGGCTATGGGAGAAAGGACCTCCTTTTAAGCAGTTGATAAGGAATTTGGCAAGAGCACTTGCGGAATTTTGTACCATAAAATCACACGTGTGAAATGACATGTGTAAAGTTACTCAGCTCAGTATTCTTTGTAATAGAAAAATTTTAGAAGCAAACTAAATATTCTTTAGAGGACCAGCTACATTATGGCACATCTTTATAATGGGATACTATTCAGCTATAAAAAAGAATGAGGATGGGAGAATAGAGAGGCTGTGTGTGCACAGGGAGACAACTCGGGGGATAGGTGTGCATGGAGAGAAGGACACAGGGAAGAGGTAACTGTGGGGAGGAAGTGGGAGGGAAGCTGTTGCATTGTGGGAGTAATGCAGTCAATGCAAAGTGTTGCAGTCAATGTAATGAGACGAAGTGTATGTGAGCTGCTGTATGGAAAATGAATTTGCTCTATAAACTTTCACCCAAATCACAATAAAAATTTAAAAAAAAATTAGGAAAGTCTTCTTATACAGATACAGAAAAATCTTCAAGATAATATATTAAGGGAGAAAAAGAAAGTGTAGTATGTCACCATTCAAATTAAAAAGAAAAAAATATAGAATTTGAGTATGTATAAAAAAATCTATAAAAGGTTATACAATAAAGTAAAACACTGGTTGCCTATTAACCTATTTGAGCGTAGGTGGAGAAGAACTTGGGTACATGGAGGAGGAAAGGGATAGGAGGAAAACTTTGTTACATACCTTTTTATAGTCTGTAGCTTTTTAACCATGTGAGTACAATATCTGTGTAGAACATTAAAAATAGCTGTTACATGTCACACACACTTGAACCTTGCTAAATTATTCTTCTTAATGTATATTAGTGCAGTGTATCTTTGCATTATAAAAACTACAGTTAGACAGTATTTGTATTATTTTCTTGGGCAAGATTTATATTAAATAAGCTGCTTATACAAGTATA